CTGGACTGCAAGGTCAGTGGTTCAAGTTCACCAGCCGCACCTCAGAAACCCTATATATGATCGCAATGATTCGGAACCTACATGATGGCACTTAACGACAACCGTTTGATACTTAACAACAACTGCCACAATGATGCTTTGAGCTTTATTTGCATTATTAGCAAACTGTCCAATTCATATGGTGGGTCACAGCACATCATTTGCATAGTTCCACCAGTCATTTGGACTACTGGTGTGGTACTTACTACAGGATCAGCAGTGGACTTCAAACCACAAGGTCTGCAGTTCAAGCCCATCAGCAGCTCCTTGGTAAACGTATACAGGTCACTTGAGTCAGAACCAACTCCACAGCACTTAGCAGCCACAGAAGAAACCAGTCATTTGGTGGGAGTTACCATGACTATAGTCAAAAGGGTCATATTAAATAATTCACTGCACCACAGAAGGAATATTTCCATCTCATTATAAAAGACCCACATTATCCTAATACTAAAACTAGACAAAGACATCAGAGGAAAGGAAAACTATAGATTATCTTCATCAACACAAATGTAAAAATCTTCAACAAAATATTCACAAATTAAACATGAATAGATATACATACAGAGCACAATGGTTCCATACAAGAAGCACTGAAATGTGTTCACAGAGGCCTGAGCCCACCACTGCTCTGCAGAAGTTCAGGTTTTCTGCTTCTGCAAAGATTTGCAGCCTCAGGAAGCCGGTATAAGGTAGCTATGTATCAGAATCAACTCGATGGCATTTAACAACAACAAATATGTGTACTTCGTCTCTCATACTTCGGACATATTGTCAGGAGGGACCAGTCGCTAGAGAAGGACATCACATTTGGTAAGGTGCAGGGTCAGAGAAAGAGAGGAAGATCCCCCCCACCCCAGCCAGATGGATTAGCAAAGTGGCAGCATCGATGGGCTCAAGCGTGGCAACAATTGTGAGGTTGGTCCAGAACCAGGCAGTATTTCATTCTGTTGTGCATAGGGTCACTATGAGTACTGACTCGATGGCACCTAACAACAACATGTTCATCACAGCACTATTCACAACAGCAAAAGATGTAGACAACCAAAATGCCCATCAAAGCAAGTATGGATAAACACTGTTACATACAAACAATGGAATACTGTGTGCAACATTAAAGAATAACTAATCTTGTGAAACACCTAGTAAACATGGATGATCCTAAAAGACACGATGCTGAGTAGAATTAGTCTATCACAAAAGTACAAATATTGTGTGTGACCACTATTGTAAAAACTCAAGAAAAACTTTTTTTGGTTACTACTATTCCAAAAACTCAAGAAAAACCATTTTTGATGGTTACCATTTATGATGGTTACCAGAAGTGGGAGGGAGGTGAGAGTAATTCGCTGTAATTAAAACATATGTTAATGGTTGCAGAAGGGAAGGAAATTTAAAAAAAAAAAAAGCTAACGATTAAAACACCTAAAGGAAATAATTAATAGCAGAAATCAATGAAAACTGAGAAAAAATAATCAAATTAAATCTGGTGGCGGTGGTAGTGTGCCATGAGTCAGTTCCGACTCACAGAGACCCTGTATAGGGTTTTCGAGGCTGTAAATCTTTATGGGAGCAGAAAGCCTCATCTCTCTCCCACGGAACAGCTGGTAGTTTGGAACTGCTGCCCTTAAGGTTTGCAGCCCGATTCGTAACCACTACGCTACCAGAGCTCCTTAAATTAAATCTAGTAATGTCTAAAATGATTTATACAACACAAAGTGGGATTTATTATAGGTATGCAAAGCTGGTGTACTCTTAGAAAATCAATTAACATAGTCCATCAAATTAACAGGCTAAAGAAAAAATTCCTACGATCTATCAATAAATGTAGAAAAGCCATTTGACAAAATTCAACACCCACTCATGATGAAAACTCTGTAACTACAAATAGAGAAAAACTCAACTAAAACAAAACACACACACACAAAAACAACCCTACAGCTAACATCATACTTGGAGTACTGGTGTGGCTGTAGGATAAGCACTTGACTACTAACCATGAGGTTAGCAGTTTAAAACCCCCAGCCATTTCTTGGGAACCCCATATAGGTTCTTTATGAGTTTGAAACAACGAGAAACCACTTAACATCATTCTTAGTGGTAAAAACTGGGTGTTTTCCCCCTAAGATCGAGAACAAGGCAAAGATGCCCTCTCTTATAACTCCCATGCAACAGTGTGCTGGCAATCACTATTGCATTGAGACAAAGAATTAAAACATACAGATTGAATAATGGACATTTGAAATGAAAACACACTCTACCATTTACTTTCAGACACCAAAAGTGAAAAAGAACAATATGTTTAGGTATAAATCTAACAAATTTTATCCAAAATCTAAAAGAGGAGATTATAAACATCTGTTAAAAGAAATCAAGAGCTAAATTTATGGAAAGCTATTCTATATTAATGAGTATAAAGACTCAATATTGCTTTCAGTTAATGAAGGAACCTTAAATCAACATTGCTAAGTAAAACAAATTAGTCTGAAAAGTCTAGTGTATGATATCAACTATATGACAGTCTTATTAGCAATGGGTGAGAGTTCAATTTAAAATTTTTTAGTCATCATTCCTTTCATGTATCAGTAAATAAAAATCTGCTCCATTTCATCCCATTCCCTGCATGCCAATGGAACCAAAATGTGTTTTTAAAGTAAGATATTCCCTAGGTAGCAACTCCTTAGGGCTCCTTGTAGGTGTCTATAACAAAAAACCTGAAAAATACTTTTAAAGTATCACTGACTTTAAATAAGATTGTCAGATTCATGTAGATGAAAACCAAACTGAACAAGTAACATTTGAACCTTCGTGACCCCTGAGGAGTCTGTATGCACTGTTATTTATTAAGAACATGAGCTTTGGAGTCCAACAAACCTCAGTCTGACTGCTAAATATTTGTGTTAATAAGCTTAGATCAATAATGTAAACTCTAAATCTTAGTTTCCACATCAAGTAAGTAGAGATGCCTGACACAGTAGGTTTCAAAAACTGGCTGCTATTATACTGTTACTTGTGGACTCCTGGTGTGGTGCTGTGGGATAATGCACTAGGCCATAAGGTCCGTTTGAACTGCAAGGTCTGCGGTTCAAATTCATCAGTCACTCCTCGGAAACCCTATACAGGGTTGCTATGAGTTGGAAACAACTTGATGGCACTCAACAACAACAACAACAAACTGTTATTTACAGGATATGCACTCGACCAAAAGATCTGTTTTAATTGCATGGTCAGCAGTTCAAACTCACCAGCTGCTCCTCAGAAACCCTACACGGGGTCGCTATGAGTTGGAACTGACTTGATGGCACTAACAACAACAACAATTGTTACTATAGTGCAATCTGTGAAAGCTAGACTGCGGACTGCTTTGTTTTTCAAGGACTCAAGTTTTCCTCCTTGACAGGATGCCACCTTATCGTATTTCCATTACTTTTTATTAGTAGAAAAGATTTGAGTTTTCCTTCTCTAATAAATTTCTGCCATAGACAAGTTCTGATTTTCACAGTTTCTACTGTTTAAAACTGTATCTTGGGGACCAAGGCATATGAAATTGGGTAATAGTCTTAGTATTATTTAATGTATCTAGTTTACAAAGTACTCTCTGAATTTTAAAATCAAATGAAAAATATTTTCCATTTATTTCTCATAATATTTGAGCTGTCAGTTCCCACCAAAAACAGGTATAATAATCTTATACTAAAATTAGAAATGCCAATGGAACAAGGCTGACAGAATAAAGTAACTATATATGTAGGTTTCTACCACTTTAGCAAATGTCACAAATTTCCTATCTTAAGAACAGAAAAAAAAAAAAAAAAGAATAATATTAGCATTATTGTTTTCCAGATCCAGTTATTTAATCCCTTTTAGAACTAAAGATTTTTCAAAGGGAAAATATACAAAATATCCAAATGGAATAAAATTTTGTGGAGCTGCGTGATAAAGCACTAGAGCACATGGTCAGCGGTTCAAACTTACCAGCAGCTCCGTGGAACCCTATACAGGTTGTTTTGAGTCAGAACTGACTTGATGGCACTCAACAAGCCCAGAAAACCAGTCAAAAACAGCTTTGTTGGTGACCAGGGTACCCTGAGAACTTGCTTAAATATTTTGTTTTTACTGAACAAATGTCATTTATGTTCCTAATACAGATTTCAAGATTTATGGGCAAGAAATGTTTTTAAATAATTTCAGAACGATCTTCATGTGCTCTGAATGTATCAAGGTCATGTCTTTTTTTTTTTTTTCTAAATCTAATTTTAGTTTCCAATACTCAACAAGATATATGTATAAGAAATTAAAACAGTGTCCCTATACCCACACCTAAAATAAAACGAGAAACAAAGTCTGAAAGTATATTGCAAAATGTAAAGGTAGGGAATACAATACATGAAAACAGGAAGCTACTGCACACTGGTTTACCCACACACATACTGGTATAAAAATTAATACTTTTCTTATTTTTATAAACTCAGTTCAAAGACTTTCTGCATTACTTCTAAATATGAAGTAGAAAATACAATTCCTTACCTTTCCATCAACTTCTCTTTATCCCAATTGAAGTGGCTAAGGAGTATTCTTGTGATAGTTGCTGGATTCTAAAGAAGGGGGGAAAAAATTTTTTTTAAGGTAATAGCACTTCATTAACATTTAGTGAACTTACAGGATGAATTTAAATTTCTTAAATACTTCACGTAAATCTCTTTTCCTAAGCTAGATCAAGACTAGTTAAGAATAGTTAACAACATTAATATAACAGGTAAAGGGAGTCCTAGTGTGGCGCTGTGGATAAGCACTAAACCACAAAGTTCAAACTCACCAGCGGCTCCTCGGAAACTCTATACAAGTTCACTATGAGTAGGAATCAATTAGACAACACTTAACAACAAGATCCTAAATCAAAACTCAAAACAATGTCAAAGACACTGTATGCAAAAGTAAATTATTGCATTAAATCAAGCACTGAAATTATTTTTGCAATTAGGAATTAACAGACTGTTCAGCATAATAAAAGTTCTAATACCTTATGCATTGAATAGTTCAAACTAGTTCAAACAATGTTTAAGTCAAAAGCTACTTCAGGGATATTTAAGCAAACTCACTATATATATATATATATATATACACTTAGTACTAGGTAATAGAGTCCTGGTGTGGCACTGTAGGACAAGCACCGGACTGCTTAGTTGCAAGTTCCGTGACTCAAACCCACTAGTCACTCCTTGGAAATCCTATACAGGGTTGCTAGAAGTCAGAACCGACTTGATGGCACACAACAATAGGCAATAATTTATAGTGTATAATCTTCAGTATAGCACAGTGGTTACGAATCAGGCTGCTAATCTCACAGTCAGCAGTTCTAAACTACCAGCTGTTCCATGGGAGAAAGATGAGGCTTTCTGCTCCTGTAAAGATTTACGGCCTCGGAAACCCTGTACAGGGTCACTATGAGTCGGAACCAACTCCATGGCACATAACAACAACAACAATCTTCAGTTGCTATTTTATTTCTAGATGGAAAGGTCAACAACACAATGAAATAAAATTAAAATGTAATACTCTATCATTCAATGCCATCACAAATATCTCCATTTCCTGTGAAACTAGTGAGCTTACTATTTGGGTTGTGTTAAGGTATGGCACTGTGGGTTAATGTGCTGGACTGCATAGTCAGTTTGAACTGCAAGGTCAGCAGTTCAAGCTCATCAGCTGCTCCTCGGAAACCCTATACAGGGTCACTATGGGTCAAAATCGACTCTATGGCACTTAACAAGAACAAGGGACCTCTGGCGTATCTAACATACAGTAGAAATGGTTTAGGGTACAAAGGTTAACTCAAAACTTACCTGTACCTAAAGAGCAGCTAAGCACAACTCAGTCATAGACACTCGAGCTAGTTATAATGCAGGGATAGAACTGAAATCTTGATCTGCTGACCTGTATTTCATGTATAATTTGATCATATCAAAACAGATCTATGTACTAAAAACTACTTTTTGACCTTTATAACAGTTAGATCATTGTAAAAATTAGTTACTGATTTAGTTAAAAAGTAATTTTCCATAAAGTTTAATGCTTTTAAAGATAGCCAGCAATTATTTTCAACAATATCATGTGTCACAGAAATATTCATATACATTCATAGTTCCCAAATATGTAGAAAATATAGACACAGTAACTAGTTAATGCTAACCTACTCAGGTATTTACTTCTTTGATGCAGATTTCCCAAAGAAACAGCCTTTAACAAAACACTCCAGACATATATCACCAATCTCTAAGAATTAGAATGTGGAAAGAAATGTAAAAACTGACCTAAGCTTTCATTATTTTTACACAATATACAAATATTGCTATATTCATCTCTTGCTTAGAAATGTGATTTACAACAATTTTTAAAAGTGTTAGATTGGTAAGTTTTTCATTGAATTATTAACAAAAATGGGATTAGGCTACAAATGAAGTCAAGTCATATGTAAAATCAAAGAAACCATCCTATTAATGAAGTCCTGGTATGGTGCTGCAGGGTAAGCACTGGACTGCTAATTGTAAGGTCGGTGATTCAAACCCATCAGACGTTCCTCAGAATCCCTAAATAGGATCAATGTGAGTTGGAACCGACTTGATGGCGCTTAACAACAATCTATTAATTAGGGGAATTAAGTCTAAAAATTAGTAGTATCCATTAGAAATGTGTCAACAACTTTATCACAAACCCCACTTATTACATTCTCTCCTACAAGAGAAGACATTCGGGGGGAGATGTTGCTTCAGAAATGAAGAGTGTTAATTTTCAGAGATTAAAATGGAAAGGGAGAGAGAAATCCTACTTCTAAACTTGATGCATTTGAATTACGATGTTGACAATGAATACTGAATGTACTGTGGACTGCCAGAAGAACAAACAAATCTATCCTGGAAAAAGTGACAGCCAGAATACTCCTTAGAAAAAATGGCAAGACTTCATCTCATGTACTTTGGACATGTTATCAAGAGGGACCAATCCTTGGAGAACATTAATGCTTGGTAAAGAAGAGGGTCAGCAAAAAAGAGGAAGACTCTCAATGAGATGGACTGAGACAGTGGCTAAAATAATGGGTTCACAGAGGACATAAACTGTTAGGATGGCATCAAAGTCTACTTGACAGTACCACGCTGATGCCAGGGGCTTTCCTGTGCCTGTGTTCTAGTATCAAACACTGGTCCCACCTGAGGTTCCCAAACCATTGCAAGTTCATAAAAAATTACTATGGAAAGTTTTTTTAAAATACTAGTTTCTAGGCTTCATTTCATAATGATATCTAATAGTTTTAAGCCTGAGTCTCCCTAAATGTGTTCATATTTAAATAATCAAAATATGACAATTAATATACATTTTAGCTTACCCTTTAAAAATTTCTGTATACCTATTATTTGTCTGATAATATGCACATTATATTGGAGGTCGATGCTAAAAAAATTTTCCAATACAATGTTAATGAAAACTATTTGTCTAGGCCACACTGTCATAATTAATGACAGGTCTCTAAGTTATTTGGCCTAGGAAGGGAGACATTTTGATCACTAGTTCAGTACAGCTGACACAGGTGTATGCACTTTGCAAATTAAGAAAGGTAATGGAAGTACGTAACATTTACGTGCACCTGTACATGGTACTTTACACACTTAGTAAGTCTCCAAAGTATCCTATAAATGAAATATACATGTCTCCCATTTTAAATATGAGAAAACTAAGGCTAGGCTACAAAGGTCACACAGCTGACTAAGTAGAATAGTTGGAAACTAACTTAGCTAAAGACTTTAATGTTAAATATCTTGTTTAACTACTAAACATATGTTTAAATATCCTTTACATTCTCTACCTAAGTGTAATTCAGGGCAAAGTCCACAGGGGAAAGCAGAATGCAGAGGCATATGGGAGTTTCTGGAGTACTGGAAAGTTCCGTCTAGACCATGATGTGATGGTGGTTACTGAAGGGCATATACATTTACCAAAACTCAAACTATACACTTAAAAGTGGATGCACTTAATTATATGAAAGTTACATATCACTACAATTGATTTATTTAAATACGAAACCCAGCAGCAATATTATCTGACTTCTGGATTTGGCCAAAATAGAATAAACACACTGTAATGTCTCTCTCCTACAGTGGGATAAAATACACAATGTAACTGACCAAGGGATCCGATAACTTAATAGCAAGAAGATTGAGGAGGAAATTGAAGACACCGGAGAATCAGAAAGTATGGGGAGGATACGCTCACCCCACCCCTCCATTATGTCTCTCCCAGCACTGACTTGAGGCCAATCCCAGTCATGCAACTATACTATACTGCAGTGGCCACAGAAAACCATGAGAGAAAAGCTATCACTCTGGAGACGATACAGAAAGAGGGTCTAGGGGGAGTCGCCATGATTTCTTTTTTTCTCTTGCCAAGGCATGACAGACAGTAGGCTAACACTGAGAATCCTAGGACTGTATACGGAAAATGAAGACAGAAACCTCTGGAAACAGGAGCTGTTGTTGTTAGTGCTGCCGAGTCGATTTGACTCATAGCGACGCTGTCTAGGGTTTCCGAGGAACAGTTAGTGGGTTTGAATGGCTGACCTTGTGGTTAGCAGTCCAGTGCTTAATCCTACAGTGCCACACCAGGACTCCTGGGAGCAGGGGAGTATGGGAAAAATTATAGAGAGACACGCACAGAAAAACAGACCTCTAATTCAACAAGTCTTAGACTCACCTGTCAGTGTATTATACATGTATGGAAGACACACCAAAGAAACAGCAAGGGCTTTGAGAACAAGAATTACAAAATAAATTACTAACCACGTTATACAGCTATCTTAGTGGGCGTGTGGGGGCTAACTAAAATAACATAGTAGAGGTCATACCAGGACTCCTAGAAATCCTATACAGGGCTGCTATTGAGTCCGAACTGGAAAGCAATTAACAACATTATAGGCTAGTATTTTTCTTCTCTTAAGCTCTTAAACAGATCTAAAACTCTTGAAACAAAAATAACATGTCGTGTACCAAAAGGGGTTAAACATATGTAACAACCATAATATAAAGGGGTCTGGAAAGAAGCTTTTGTGTTTTACTCACAATGGTACATTATTCATGCACTGGACTGCAAAGTCAGTTTGAACCACAAAGTTGGCAGTTCAAACCCACCAGCTGCTTCTGGAAACCCTATACAGGGGTCACTACGGGTAGGAACCGGCTTGACAACATATAACAGCACAATTGGGAGTCCTGGTGTGACTCTAGCAGTAGTATTGGACTGCTACCCAAAGGTCGGAGGTTCAAATGTAACAATGGCTCCTCGGAAACCCTATACAGGGTCACTGTGAGTCAGAACCTACTTAACACCACTGAACAACACAAAGCAGAATATAACAAAGTAGAATGAGAAGAGTTAGATTTCATATTTTAGTGCAATGTGATAAGTACTAGACTGCAAGGTTGGTTTGAACCACAAGGTAGGTGGCTTGAACTCACCACCCACTCCTTGAAAACCCTAGACAGGGTAACTATGAGTTGGAACAGACTCAATGGCACTTAATAATATATTCCTATTACATATCATATTA